AAGACTCAACCAACAACTGTGTGTCTGTTTGACTGAGAGGGATGTTCATTATCGGATATGAAAATATCTTTTTCCTCCCTTACGGTCACTGACTTTGGTAAAGTAAAACACATGTGCTGCCTACTATTTTATACAGCAGAAAACACTGACTTAGAATTGCCTTTGCTTTTTCAAAGCTATCTCTTCTTGGTTTTAGGCAAAATGGCAAAAAGTGTTTAAATTTAAAGCTGTTTTTTTCCCTTCTTCAGTGGGTGGAGTAAGAACTTTATTTTCTCTGAAGAATAACAAAGGCAGCTTGTTGAGCTTGTTATAATGCCAATAAGCTATGCCTTAGGTAATTTCTTAAATAAAGACAGGAAATGCTATGGAAAGTAGCATTTCAGAAACCTTTTAGTGCTCTCACATCAATAAAATCAATCTGAAAAATATGTACTATTTAAGAATTTTCAAGTAGCTTAAAATGAATGAGCTTTCTCCTGCATTCTACATATAAAACACTGTCATCAGCTGGGAGTAATCAAGGAACTTCAAATCAGTTTCTTGAAGTTTCAGCTACCACCTTAGGCAGACTGTGCCAAAGAGCGATGCTATTTCCTCTTCTTTTTAATTTAAAATTAAAAAGACTAATATTCAAGATTGCATCTCTCATTAAACATCTTTTGTGTTCACAAATTCCTTTAGCAGCTCTAAAGGTAAGACAACCCTTTGTCATAAGACAGCAGGATTTGCTTTCAATGCATCAGGCAAACATGGAAAAAACCAAGACATTAATATGACGAAGTTCTTAGTTCTTAATTACTGTAAAAATAACAAAAAAATACAAAATAATCGGACTTTGTTATTAGGTACATCAGCAGTACTTCAATTTTAATAAATTCTGCTAGCCAGCAGTAAGCCTCTTGAAAGAATCTGCTCAGATGAAGGTGTGGGAAATGTACAGTAAACGGGAGAGTGACTTCAAGTGCTCGGGGTGCAGGCTGAGGATACTGCTGAGCCAATACAGTAATATCAACTGCCAAAAAGGAGCGATGCTATTCTCATCCGAACCATGCACTTCCATCCTCTTTCTTCTGCTGACAACAATGCAATGCCTACGGACACACTATTCACAGAGCTAAATTTGTAAAACACATACCCCGAAAGCCCAAATCCCATAAACTTAACCCCCTCTCTTGAACATCAAAGTGAGCAGCCCCTGGCTGTTTGGATCCCTGAGCCAGCTGACCTCGGGTCAAAGCCAGACTTCTCCTTTGGGCAGCAATACCTGCTAGGTTGGCTTAGCTGTACTGTCTGATTTAATGGGAAAATACTTGCCTTTGTCTGAGATCGAGCCATAATTTTAAGATTCTGCAAAGGGTGTCAGACTACCAGACAACATAAAATTAAGGCATGATGAATCTTGGCTAGGAAATTTAAATATACTCTGTTCTGCCCCAGAATAACATCACATTATCTGCTTTATCTGCTTCACTCCCAGGTCCTCTGGAACACTGAAGACTTTGAGAGCAGTTGAGACTAATTAAACTTAATCCAGAGTGGTTAAAGTTTGTATTAATCCAAACGGGAATGCAGACAGGATCAGCAGACTTATCCACTTTTAAAAACAAAAAGTAAAAAGGCTTCTCCAAACAGTGGTTATGGGAGCTGCTCATCTCTAGCCTGGCCCCAATCACCAGTAGCTTCTATCCGACAGCTGTTAAAGAGACAAAGCCAATGGTCTAGATGTTAAACCAAACACTTTCTGCACTCCCATACCTCATCTCCTTAGGTCAGGAATAAAGGACACTTCTGGGAAAGTGCTGGGATTCAGAGAGCTGCTCCCCTTATTCTGTCTGCTCTACCACCAAATGTAGTGGTAAAAGTTCAGTAGCAACAGAGCCACTGTCTGCTACTTCCACGTTTCTGGTAGATTTAAGTACTCTGCATAAACTGTAAAATGGCTTCAGCTCCAAGGCTATTCTAGAAGGAATATCCAGTCCTTACAAAGTGTTTTCATTCCTCCTGGGGAAAGAAGTCATACTAACATCAAACAGAGTTTTGCTTTCCACTTTCTCTACCGTCTCCTGAATCTTCTGATACTCCATTTTAAAATAAGGCATTTGTGTTGCACTATTATTTCAGTCACAGTAGCAAAGATAGTGAGGAAATGACTGCTGTGGACCAATTCCTTGTCAGCCTAGGCTTACATGCACAGTGCATCAGGAAGAAACAGCCTTCCACTCTCTACTTCACGCAGACAGATGGAATAAAAACAAACACGTACACAATCCGGTTCACAGTTCACAGGCTAATGGGAGCCAGTATTTTCAAACTATCAATAAGCAACAGTATTCAGCTGCAGAAACAGCATGCTCCTGTTTATTTCTGCTACCTACCTCAAGCTCCAAACAACTCTAAAATATTTATGCAGTTCATCAACCAGTCAGCTTCCTTCTCTGACCCCTTTTTTTTCCTGCTCTGCCTCAGATCTTTGGTATCCAGAAAGGAAATCAAGCTTGGTTATAAAGCACCAAATGCCCTCCACCCAATGAATATGCCACACAAGTGTCAGTGTTAGCCCGCACATCAATGGCAATCCTTTAACACTACTTGCTCATTAAGCACATGACAGTCCTAAAATATGCATGATAGGTGTCAGAAGCTCCACAAAGCACTCATATTTAACGATTTCTTCTACCTTGCATATAAACTGATATTCAAAGTTGAACTCCTAGTGGCTGTGAAGAAAAGATTTGTACACCTAACCCTCACCTCTAAAGAATTTGCTGATCTACCTGCTTTTGACGTTTCCAACAACATGAAGAACAGAGGCAGGTATCTGATCTTAACACCATTCTCAATAATCATTAACAGCATATTTCTAATGACAAATTGAAGCAAAAGAAAACACAAAAGCACAGTGTGAACAGCTTAAAAGCAAGTTAAGTTGTGCTTACCAAACACCTGGAAGCCTAGCACACAAGTGTATGTAGTCCAATCTATATCCTTACAGTCAGAACGATTCCTGATTAGCTTACAGCCACTTGGAATGTCCCCTGTAAAAAAGCGAATGATCAGTTATGCCATACAAAATTATATTTACGTAAGTGTTCTTTGAAGGCGCTAAGACAGCAAATAAATGCATCTTAAAACCAATTTGGAATTACATTGTAGAGGCAGACAGAGCAGTACCTTTATCAAATTCCAGATACTTGAAGCTTCACTTGGTATTTAAGAGTCACATTTACTTCTCATTTCCCTCTTCAGATCAGTATACCTCAAAAACACTTCCCTGCAGCTTAGGTCCCCTGCTAGCTACTCTACAAAATGCTTTAATAGAATCTGTAATAGAATAATTTCTCCTTCCTACCAGCTCCATTGATGTGCTAAAATTCAATCAATCATTCAGGAAGCTCTGCTTTTAAAACAGTGAGCAACTACTGCCAGATTAGCCTTAGGCTGCTTTTCAACTTCTAACTAGGAAAGAAAAGATTGTCCACCTTTCAATACATCAGCCCAGTACTGACGAGTCACACACAGGTCTTTGCTTCCCTATACAGGCAATTATAAGCACGAACACTTCCTTTTGGTAGATTGAGATATTGTACTATCCAGATTTGAAACCTAAGCTGTGACAGGCAGAAAGAACATGTTAAGGTGACAGATACTTAAACTGCTGGCTCTTCTTGCCTGAACAGGAACAGAACTACAATCATCCTGGATCTAGTTAAAGCCACAAAAAGACAAGAATACAAGAACCAATTTAAAAACAGACTGATACGCACTACGCAAGTTGAACTTTTGACATAACCACTATAATTTAAATTTGTATTTTCATATATTAAATAACACAAAAACATTATTATCACTAAGTCATTAAAGTAGTATTACTGCTTTGCTTAGTTTTCAATGCCATCGGCCAAGATAAAAGTTTAAAAAAAGAAACCCTGGAACAAAACAGTGGCACAGACCTACTGATTTTATTTCCCCAAAATAACTGGTATTGTTGACACTAATTAGACAACTGTATATATTATTTTCAATATACAGAACTTTTGGCCAACATCAAAACGTAGTGCCACTTGTTCTGTAAAATCTATGCTGTTAAACTGATTTATGACCTTGTAAAGAAGTAAGCTATATTTGGCATTGCTATTAGGTAATACACAGCTCTGAATAACATCAAGATATCAGGTTACAGAAGTTCAAATTGGTTCCTTTGTCAGTAAGCATTTTGTACAGTCCTGATCAAATACACTCTTCTAAATATTCTGACAGCTAATACATACTTCTGTTTCCAGTGTATTTCATTTCATACTTACAGTATAGTATTTCATAGTCTCCTGAGTTTGACATTATATACTTGTTGTCCGGGGACCAGTCAAGGTGTGTAATATAGCTGGAATGTCCCTGGAGAAGAATGCAGTAACACCAATGTGAAACACTTAGTTTAATTCAAACAGAAGCAGAAGTTGCACCCACAGATGGGACAGCTAACAGCAAAAAAACACCTCCCCACCCACCCCAGGTCTGCCGCAGTACACTTGTGCTCCTTTAAAGGCTCTTTACTCCAGTGCCACACTCGCTAACAGTTAAACAAATGCAGGCTGGGCATCGTGCCTCTCCCACTGCATGGTGGATTCTTCACTTGTAAACTGTGTCTCTCTCCGACTCCAGAATGATTTACTCCTAGAACATACATTGCTAAAATATGGATGAACTCACGTTTGTTCTCAAATTAAGAAATTATACATTGCTACTAATTGAGAAAGGCAAGTAAGTTGCACAGCATCATTTTTAGATCCCAAACAAAACGTGACACATACGACTCTTATTTCTCTATCCATTCAAAATAATTTCCATTAAATGCACGCACATTCAAATAACCGTTGCTCATCTTAAAACCTTAGGATACCTCAGTTAACAGCCACCATGTAAAACTACAAGATCAAGGACTAGTGTTACAAGAACATCCTCATAAGCTTTTTGAAAGTTTCTTCTGTACTTCTTACACTGCATGTATGCTAGTGCCATCTTCGAAAGGAGTCTTCCCTATAGGCACAGGGTCATCTATGTAAGAATCAAAACACTTTGGCCTAATTGCTTAGTTATCACCATCAAGAGCACACTGAGAGCTAAACACCCATCTTTGTTTTTGAGGGAGAAGATAAACACAGCTGGTCAAATATTTTTCCTCTGCATGAACTTTTTGTTGGTAGTAATAACAGTAATAGTAATAATTAAGCTGTAAGAAGCTCCAGAGAAGCCACAAATTTGTATAAGGTAGGAATAAATTTCTCTGTAGAGGAAAGGGTAGGAAATAAATAAAAGTGATGTCCATGCCATACTCTTCTTCCTTCACCCTTCCATTTCTTCTTACTGCTCCTGTTCCCCTTGTAAGACTACCCATTTTCTTCCCTTCCTAGTCATTCTGCCAGGCAACAAAATGCCACTTTCTTGACTGACAGATGCGAGTTCACCTCCCTCTCTCAGTCAGCATTATGAAGATGGTGTCCCTCGGCCCTCCGCATGGGCAAGGTCTCTTGGCCCCATCTGCACCCGCTGTGCCAGGGCCACGCTGGAGGACCGCGCTGGCTGCCGCACCACCCACCATGCCAACTTCCCCTACAGAGAACTCTAACGAGATGCTGATTGCTTCCAGAAATACACGCAGAAATACACCCGTGTCTGTCTCCCTGTCCTCAGGTCCTGTGAGAGAGACTGCAAAAACATTTAGGAGAAAAGCTAGCCTTTAAGATTTGTTTACTTATGAACTCATCTCTGCCTCAGGCACAGGAACTGTGTATTGACATAACTGCTCTGCAGTCATGGGTGGAATACATGATATTGACATTCAAACTTGGTATTTTGAGTAAAAAAAGTACAATTGGCAAGGATTTTTTTTTTATTTCCCCCCCCGTTATTTTCCAAGTCTTCAAATTTGCAGGCAAACTCCAACATGGAAAAGAATTGGTCAGTCATCTACTAAATCCTGCCAGACATTTGGCAGCTGTTAAAATTCCTGGGGGCGGTGGGAGAGGGAACAAAGGAATTGGCCAGGGGGTTCCACGCTGCAAAATCCCTTTAGGCAAGTGATCACCAAACGAAGAACTGGAACATAATGTTGTTGTAATATTTTCAATAGTGCAATCTCATTTTCTATTAAAATCTTTCTGTGGTAGTTGCCCACTGATAAGGGAACATTTTACTCTTTCCTTTTCTGTACCTTTATATACAATGAACATAACTGCTTATATTAGCACTGGCTAATAAAGCTATCTGACTAAATGGAAACCCTCTCCTTCATTGGCAGTGTTTATCTGTTTCAGACTTAAGTGGTGCAAGGGTCGAAATGCCCACAGCCTTTAGGATAGGCACACTAGTTATTTCAGGTTAAGTCCAGTGTATCAAATACTTCAGCGTGGTTGCCCATGTGCCTTTCACCCACAGCCCTCTTGGTAAATGCACGGCACTTGCTTCTCCTTTGCTAACAGATATCCCTGATGTAAGGCAGAGACAGGGCCAGCTACTCTGGAGTTGCTGACATGCTGGAAGTTCCTACCCCAGCCCATACCTTCACATCGCTGTCTGCATAGCTGGAGCCCTCAAAAAACAGTTGCACTAGTTGAAACGGTTGTTTCAGCTCATCTGAAATTCTTTCTGATCACAACCAACACGATCCCTCACTGTGGAAACATGCTCACTGGTCAGAGACTTGCGTCTCTGGCAGCCGCAGAAAGCCTGGTTGTGACTGAAAGGGGATTTAAATGTAACAGTGGGCATACAGCCCTTATGCACAAGCTGATGCTGGTTCAGTAGATAAATCCTTCTGAAAGTATTCAAATAATGCATTCAAGTTGGAAGAAACAACCAGAAGTTGACTACCAGGAGGACTGAGTCATACTACTCGAAGGTCACCCACGAGGCTACTGAATGACAGAAGAATGCCAGAAGGATGCAGTGCCAACGCCAAGCGCCAAGCACCGGCCAGGAGCGCTCCAGGTCCTGAGCATGCCTGCCTGTCTCCCTGCTTAGCATCAAGCTGGTATTGGCCCGCCAGCGTGCGGTATCGGCCCGCCAGCAGGCTGGCAGGCTGTAGAGCGCGTGAAACCAGATCAGCAGCCTCGCAGTGCGCTCTGGTCAGCTAACATGCTGCTTCCTTCTCATAAGCTGGAAGGGTCAGAGGAGCTCAGCCCCACCATAAACCAGGTTGCTAATTTTGGCTTCTACACACAGTCACTCAGACTGAAAAGAATGGTTAACAGAAAGCTGCTTTGAAGTCTCAACACTTTGGCCTGAGTATACCAATGCTCATTTCTCCATTCCCAATTTTTTTTTTTTTTTTTTTACAAACTCCATTCCTGCCAAGGCAGAGGGACAGACATACAGATGCTGGTTTAAATTACACTATGCTCTCTCCTGATACCTAATACATATGATATACAGATATACATGATCTCATACATCTTCAAAGAGCTCACAGACGTCTGAAGTACATAGCAAGCTAAATATTACATATGGTAATATTAGCTGTCTCTGAGTGAATTTATCTTTTATGGTTAAAAAAATAAGTGATGGGGTGAAATGCTATACTGAGGTGCAGCCATCTGCTGCTGTCCCCACTGGTTCCCCAGTCTGACCTCCCCGTAGGCTCAGCCCTTTCCCCACTGCCTGAGCTCCCTGGGAAGGCTGCAGATCTGATTTCTCATCTCACGCCTGTTCTGCTAGCGGCTAACCCCATCACCACCCTGCTCAGGGGCTGCAGGATGCCCTGGCTCACGCCGCACCACCACCCTGCCATTGAAGAGTCCCCAGCACACCCAACAGCCTTCCCTCTCAGCTGCATCCCGTGCCAGCGCTGAGCCCTCCTTGCCAGCTTGCACACCGCAGGGATGGGGCAAACCCAGTGCTGCTGACCAACCCTGGCAGCCCCGTGCCCCTGACAGCAGCTGGACACAGGCTGCTCTGGACCCCCACGCTCTAGCAGCACGGGGCGTCCTCAGCCAAATGGTGGGTAGAAATCTCTCAAAGACACCATACATGGCACTAAAGGGCTGATTAATGCCTGTTCGTTTCCCTCTAACTAGCAGTTTCTACTGCAAGTCTTGCATCACAGGTTGCAGAAAAAAGTAACAAAAAAATCTTAGAAATAAGCCCCCCCCAATTAAGCCTTATGGTTCCCTTACCTCCCGTTTTCAAATTAACAAAGTAGCTTGAGAAGTTCTCTTACTTTTAAAACTAAAGAAATGCAATTGGTGACAAACATGAAAAATGTTTTGAGCAGGGGATGTATTCCTTAAAAACATTTCACATTTCAAATGTGAACCTATTCTTATGATACCATTTGCAAATCCCATTAAGGTTCAGATGTTCTTTACATAACTATTCCCACTAACCTAAAGAGACAGCTGAACTTAAGGCCAGGATGTTAGATAACTGAATACTTTGGGGGAAAAAAAATCTATGTCTTTTTTAGCACTGCGACAACCTCATGTAAGCGTAAGGACTAATATAAACTCCAGTACTTGTGCTAGACTTAGATTTATTTACCCTGAGCCAGAAATAAATTGTTAACATATCCTCCAATTCCAAATTTTGTAGTAACAATTACAGTTGAAAATAGCGCAAATTGCAATATCCCAAATTACATATTCTAATGAAATTCCACCATTTAATATTATGTTGGTCCAAGGAATACTTTACCAAGAGGGCGGAAATACCCCTAAACAAGTGTAATATTTTCCCTGAAAGTTTCAGCATAAAGGTACAAGGCATTTCTTCATCTTACTGCTAATTTCCCACTTTAAAAAAAAAAAGGTTAATAGTCTGAGAAATTAGTCATATTCGATACAAAAGTGTTCACCTAACGGTTGCAGTACCCGTCAGACTGAAGTTTAAAATCAAATGCTGAAAAAAAACCCCATAAAATGTATAACCAAAACCGAAAAAGCATCGACCCAGAAAATGTTCAACTGCTTAACATCTGAAGAGTATGTATAACATCAAAATGCAAGAACTGCTGATTATATTTGCTCCAAAACTTACAGTGCATTTTCCATATCTGCTATACTTTCTTCCATTTTCAGTTACTACGTAGAGGTAAATAAAGTTGTCATGGGATCCAACTGCAAGTAAGGTGCCATCTACAACACAAAATATTTGATATAAATTAACAGAATGTTTGTTTTCCAAATTTTAATGATTTCAGATTTTTCACTAAGACAATAGTCTCAATTAAACTACTGCTTACAAACTGTATTTAAGGATACATAACTGTTTACATTATGTTGTTTGCCAGTCAGTATCTGTTTACTTTGTGGGTATGGTCTGTGAGCAAGTTCTTTCACTTCTGCTTTTTTTTAAGTAAGTGTCCAATGGACAGGGTATAAATCCGCAGATTGCACTGGATTTCTGGCAATTGTCGACAGCAGGCAGGCTTGAGTTTTCTGCATCACAAAAAATGCAGAACAGTATTTACTTTATGGTTAGCTTAGCTTTGGACACGTGGATTGCATATAAATGAGCACTAAATAATGTCTAAAGAAGAAGTGGAGCATTCAAACATTATAAGCAGTTTTCTAACCTGTGTTGTCTCTATTAAAAAAAAAGTACACAAAAAAGAGTTGCCTTGAATCACAATCAAACACCTCTAGTGTCAATGAACATCATGCTTTAAAATAAATTCCTGCGCTTGGCAGTTGTGGCAGCAGCAGAGGAACAAATTGCCCACCGACATGGCATGTTATCCAAAACCACACAAGAAACAGATTTATGAGAGTGTTCTTCCATCCAGTTAACAGAGGAGTCGGCCTCCGATGATCTCTCGTGTCATGTCTGAAGAGGAGACTCAATACTGGCTGGGACTCCATGTAATTCCATAGCAAATACTTAACAAACAGCTCTGAGTTTCAGACAGACTTTAACTTAGTTCTATGATTTTGTATTAATAAGCTTGAAAATTAACTAAGAAGTATATTAAAATATCACTGAAATACTAAGCTTTTTACAGACTTTTCTGTTAACCTGTCAACTATTTAGTTAAGAACTTTTAATTTTTCTGTAAGCAAAGCTAACGTTTATTATAACAGCACAATTCAACGTGAGGGCTGGGAAAGGCGACTGTAACGTTTGCAGTTACAAAACTCCAAGATTCAGCATACACAAACAAATCTGTAAGCAAGTATTCAGTTATATATTAAGCATCTAAAATGATTTTTTTTCAAAGCTCTGCCTTTTCTATTGCTGCAGAGTAGTTTAACACCATTTAACAGAACAGATACCTCATTTATCAGTGTTACTCGGAATGTACAAGTCTGCCTACCTACTGAGTAGCGCATCACTGAAAGCTGTTCATTGCCATCAGTGTGTATTGAAACCAGATCCCTCGTTTCTGCATCCAAAACAAACCACCTAGAGAAAGAAGAATTCCAATGAGTATCACTTCCACTAAACAAAAAAGCAAGCAAAAGAGCAATAATCATTGCCTGCCTTCATCTTCTCATGCTAGCCCCTCAAGGGCAGCACAGCAAACATCTGTTTTTAATGGAACGCTCTTCTGGTTCACAAAGTTTCAGTGAAGAATATATACAAGATTCTAAATACAGCCCATTTTTTTTTCCTCCTCCCTTAAACACTGTAGTAGTCACCAAAATGTCTACTGGATGATAAACATGCCACCAGATAGCTAACATGACTGCACCTTATCATCCTGAAGCCTTATGGCTACAGCTGAATTTTAATCTACTACTACTTCCTCATTTTGAAGAACAGTTTTGATATAAAAACTGATTTTTCAATTTGTATGAAGCAAAGTTAAAAAAAGATAGAAACAGAAGTAGGAGGAGGGAGTGAAAAACATTTCCATGCTCATTTTAAACACAAACTATTTTAATTTGGTGTTTTCCCCTCAGTCCTTTCCATTTCTATGAATAATTTTATCAAAGTAATAAGGAATAATAATTTAGTGAAATTTGATTGTTTATAATCTAGCAATTTTCTTTGTATTTCCTGCTTGGATAATTTATACTAAGGAATTTAATTGCATTTTTTTATTATTTAACAATAACTTTTAACCTGCAGTACTAGTTATGGGGCACATGCAAAAAGCTCAGAAAAGCCTGTGTGTCGGTGGCCCATACACCAAAACGGCCACTGACAGCAAGACAGGCAAGATCAACAGAACCTGAGCATTTCACAATGGTTCTGATGTCCACTTAACTCCTAAGTAAAGCAAACATTAGCAACACAAAGACAGTGAAAATTTAATAAAAATGTATGTACATACATATATATCATGAAAATGGAAGATGTCGACATGGCTAAATACATTAAAGCTGTACTCAAAATTTAATTTCTTTGCTCCAAACTTCTGATCTCACAACTGCCTGCATATGCCACAGCCAGGTTTTCATCCCTAGTGGCAAACAGTGAGTTCACACACTGTGGAAACGAGAAAGGCAATTCTGTCTCATAGTGAACTCAGTGGAACACTGCTAAAGCTAGGACCATTTATTCCGTAACAAACTTATAAAACCTAAAATAAACTGGAGGAGCAACAGTGCACTTCGCTTCTTTCTATGATGGAAATGAGATTCCAGCTCGTGCTGATCCAGTGTCCAGCAGCTAGGTATCTGGAAAGTGGCCTGGTCCCAATGGCTTAAAACCAGCTTGTGGTTAGAGAACCACATGAAACAGATTAAACGACATACACAAAAAAAAAAACAGCCCCACATGCCATGGACTGCTGAATAATCTGTGTACAGGACAGATGGAACCAGTGGAAAACAGCTAATACATCTGCACTGGACAGCAGCAGAAACCATGCTCAGTTTCTCTGCTGTAATTCTCTGCTGAAAGCAGACTTTTGATGTCCAATCTATACACTGAATTTTTGCAAGTTCTCTGAATTCATTAGGAATTACAAGTTGCTATTCTGTGATTTAGTTCAAACTATGACCCCCTTTGGCCCTGCCAAATGCTTCACTAACATGTTATCTGGATGACAACCCTGACAGGGGTATGCATATTAAAGAACAAATCAAAATAAATTAAAAAATAAAACCAAAACAAACCCAAAAACCACCCCAAAAAACCAACAACCAAAACCACAAAAGGGTTCAGCATGTGGGAAGAGAAAGGGTCCCTATGCCATTTTGCCACCATAGAAAAACAATAACTCCATCATGAAAGCAAAACTGCTCTAGAAGTACATCCTGCTGGGACAACAGAAGTGTGAAGAACATGAATGGAGGCATCATTGAGTTGAAGTGATCTGGTTTCCAAGCAACATGAGAGGCTGGTCTGAAAGCCAATGCCCCACTGTCTCATTCTTATTTTGTGTTTTCCTGAATCCAGCACAGGGTGGAGGCTCCTCACTGCTTCAGCCCAGGTGGGCAACACACCTCTTCTGCACAAACACAAACAGGAGATAGGAAGACCTTTTGCTTTACCAGAAAACTTAGGCACTATACTGTAACCTCTATTTATCTAGCAAGACGACACAGCATGATGCCTGCTTATCCTGAGCAGCATATGTGCGGTGCCTGGAAATAAAAACTGATGATCAGCACAGTAACAACCAAAAGCAGCCTTCTTCCACAGAGTGGATGGGTGCCCCCTTCCCATGCCCGCCTGCAGGTGACCATGCTTCACAGTGCTTCTGCCAGACAGCCAAGGGGAGGGCTGAGCCCGCCCTGTCCCAAAATACACAACCAGGGCAAGGGCAGGGACATGCCTCTGGATGCAAACTCAAAGGTTGGTCCTTTGAGGCTGCTACCTGAACCAAGTAATCCTCCAGTTAATATTATGTAAAATGAAAAACAGCCAAAGCCTAAAATGCAGCTGGAAAAACATGCAAAACTCCCTTATTTTACGGAAAGCACAGAGGTGGTATCGTGTGGTATCAAACACAATGCAAAACTGCTGCTGCTCTTAAGAGTGCACACTGGACTTCATTTAGCATTAGGAGGCAGTATTTTGTGACACCAGTCCTTCTCCTAAAGTTCTTCTAAACAGGAGATACTAGCAGTAATCTTAGCTGACCATGGAAAGAGTCAGTGCACTGTGACAAATTTGATAATAATTTAAGAAAGAAAGTACAGGTCACATTTAGTTCAGCTGTTTCTTGATGCTTCCACAAGCTGTAATCAGACATGCTCTCTTCAATCTTCCAAGCTCTCCCAATGCCACGGCAAACGCTGCACTTGCCAGCAACAGCGCCTGTCTCCGTGAAATGTGTCTCCAGTCTAGCAGCTACAGCAGTTCATCGGCATGCCCCACACAGGCCCTTCTCACAAACAGCTGGGGTCCACGTTGAGACTGTGTTTCGGGAGAGGATCTTCCTTCCAACATGAAGGCATGCAACATGCAAACGGCAGCTGACCCTGAAAAAGTCCTAAGGGCTGTGAAATGCAAAGCTTGGCTGCCAAGTGAACTTCTGATCCGTAAGATCGAATGAAATAAATGGATGAATAGTATCCCAGCTGTAAAATAGTGGCTCTTTCATGTTTTCTGATTTTTATTGATTTTTCTCCCAATTGTTACCGAAGATCACACACTTAACTTGTTTGTGAGTTCACATAAACAAGACAGAACTTCTGCCATTTTCATCTGTTTCTTGTCTTCCCATTCCTCTGCTTTAAAAAAATATACTTATAACCCATCTAAAAATATATGCCTTTAGAAACAAATCCCATTAAACCACACTCTCTTGGAAAAGAAATTCTGACCCATGACAGACATTTATTACTGATAACTCACATCTGTGAGTGTAGAATTAAATCACCAGGGAAATGGTATGCCAATGCAGTAATGTATTTTTGCACTTACACTTGCAGTTCCCACGTTTAGTTAATACTGAATGTTGAACCTGCAAGGCATTAATCAGAGTGAACAAACCAACCCACCTTACAACATTGGTTCCCTGGGATATTTAGGCTTCTTCATCTTAATAGCACAACAGATGCTCAAGTGGTATAAATCTCAATAGCCCTATTGACTGATTTACCTCCTTGTGGCTCTGGCTTATGCTGGTCTTGCCCTTCAGCCTTGAGTTTTCTTAATAATGTTAGTGCTTTTGTAAGAATTTTTTTTCTTCTGCAGTGCTTTTGAGTACTCATATGCATAGCACTCAAGATATTCTACATGATTAGTCACAGAAAGGTCTACATCTGTGCAAATAATACCACTGGCAGCATGGCAAAAGGATCTGTATAGTGCCTTGAAAAACCCACTTTTCTGGTAGGATTTCTGATTGCCAGCCCTTTTAGTGTTCCAGCTGTGCATTTCCAGTGAACTGCAGGATCCACAAAAAGTTATTAGTTCTGTCCAAACCAGGCTTAATCTCAGACAATTAATGATCAGGCACAGCAGGTATTTAAAGAAGTGGTAACAAAACCTGCAGCAGACCATTTGCAGACAGCCCAAAAAGGGAAATGATACCAAAATACTCATCACGGGGAGTGGTATGTGAAAAACACACCAAAACCATGATGTGTTGGCCTGATAAACACACAGCTGTGAAACAACAGATAAGAATGGGAAGAGAGGTAGAAAATTCAGTTTTCTTCAGATGTCAGAATTTTAACCATCAAACCCAACTTTCTTAATACTTCATTCCCTACGTCTGTCTTACTGACCTCCATACTGGAAGCAGAGCAGCACTAGAATGGCAACAGACACATCCAAGGTTTGGATTTACTGAGTCCTAAATAGATTAGACTCATTTAGTATGAGGAGGGCCACGAAGATGATTAGAGGGATGGAACACCTCTCCTATGAGGAAAGGCTGAGAAAGTTGGGCTTGTTCAGCCCGGAGAAGAGAAGGCTCTGGGGAGACCTTATAGCAGCCTTCCAGTACTTAAAGGGGGCTTACAAGAAAGATGGGGAGGGACTTTTTAGCAAGCCCTGTTGTGATAGGACAAGGGGTAATGGTATTAAACTAAAGAAAGGTGGATTCAGACCAGACATAAGAAAAATTTTTCACAATGAGGGTGGTGAAACACTGGAACAGGTTGCCCAGAGAGGTGGTAGATGCCCCATCCCTGGAACAATTCAAGGCCAGGCTGGATGGGGCTCTGAGCAACCTGATCTAGTGAAAGATGTCCCTGCCCACTGCAGAGGGGTTGCACTAGATGACCCTTAAAGCTCCCTTCCAACCCAAAGCATTCTATGATTCTAGTATTTGCTTTAAGCATTTTGGGCTATGAATCAAGCTATTAAATGACTTGTTATGGGTCTAAGATTATTTTTTCCTACATTAATTGAGATATATCATGTAGCCCTCATTCCTTGGGAAGTAACTCCCTTGGACTGGATTATCTGGCACAGAAAGCACCGTGTGATGCTGCTGGTTAGGCAGTAAATTTAAAACTGGTCTGTTTATCTTGATTCACAACTCCATTTATTTCTCATCCACTTGTACACTTACCAGGCCTTATTTCAATTCAGTTTCATTTGTATATCTCAAACTCCTCATTTAATCATGCAATTTCAGAACAAAATAAAATATAATGGTGAAAATATAACTGCTTAGTTGCAAGAAGAACAGGGTAAAAACAAACACCAAACCACCACACAGCTATCATCATAAACTTAACCAACACAGTATAAACTGGTTGCCTCAAGTACTTTAAAAACAAGAATTTAAACTGAAAAGCGCTGAACTCAAAAAGTAACTTTAAATGCTTGGGGGGAAGGGAGTCAATCAAAAGCAAACAACAGAGTGAATGCTTCAGCCATTCAATATGTCTTGATTGTGCTTTGATGTAATTTTAAAAATGTCTAATAACTCTAAGAAATGTAGCCTGACCTTCTTTTCCCTTTTTCCTGTTTCAAGTACTATGAGGCCAGTATCTTCTGCTATGTTTGATGAAGGCAGAAATACTTGTTCAATTTAATGATATAATTAGGAAGAGATGAAAAATGTAAAGGTACAACATGGAAACCAAATATACAAGAGCTCAGCAAGATTTTTCTTAGGAAGGTAAACTAGGTTTTCTAGCTAAACTAGGTTATAGCCGAACCAGGACTCTAGCCTGAAATTATACCTAATGAATTTAGTGCAGATTGCGTCTTCATCTTGGAGAAGGAAACTCCCTAAAAAGTATTTAACATTTCATTTTTCCAGGAAAGTTTAAGGATGTTGTACATGCTCAGCAGTTTCTGAAAACCAAACTTTAAATGGTTTTTAGGCATGAGGTTAGGTATAAAAAAGATTTCCAGGGGGAGAATTAAACACAAAAAAAATCCCAGTTTTCTTACATGCACTATGCCTTATTTTATCATTGAGTTGTCAACCATGAGGTATAACTGAAAAACAGAATGAAAATGCTAGTAGATTTAATATCTGCTCCTCTCGCCTTTCTAATGCTATGAATATCCTGTTTTTTCTTTTAATTGGTAATTGCTAAAAATCCACTGCATGAGACTCCTTTCTTGGGAGATGATACAAAGCCAGAGCTTAACTATGAATTAAAACAAATTTTTTCCACCACTGAAAGGAGCCTGAGTTAAAAAGATTCAACTTGTGTTTTGATAGCTTTCAAATATGCAATGATTTCAGCAAGAATATGAACAGTTCAATAGCAATTCATTGCAGTAATGTGCCACGGTGAACTCTATCTTAAACAAAAATCAAAATACTAGCCTGTTCACTTGCCTCTCCACGTCAATTTAAAAGCTTGCAAGTGTGTTTTATTTGGGAAAGAGAAAGATCTGTACTGTACCTGTCTTATAAACTAATGTAACACACACACACAATATTGAAACATACGACACTTTGTAAAGCCAATAAGGAGTGCTCATGGAAATCCCTGCAAAAAAATAGTAAAAAGAAAAAAAAAAAATCAAGATCTGGGCTTTCATTAAAAAACCAAGCCTAACAACAGTCAAATAATGCTTCTGTCTTCATCTAACCCAGGTAAGAAAGATCTGCCACCTTCCCTCAAGCTTTTTAGGCTACATAACCTCAAGCAAAAAGAATAAAAAGCAAATTAATTCCAATAGATAAGATGCGTAGTATCAAACTGTCTCCTTTAAACTTTCAATCATCACAGCTCAGTCGAAAGGCGTTTTTACCTGCCCGAGTGCGTTCCTATTGCAACCACTGCTCCACTGGGATGGAAGTCAGCGCAGTGCCCCGGTTCCTGAATGGAGAGGCACAGACACGTCACTCACCCGCCCGCTTCCTTACAGTCAAACAACTCTCCTTATACCAAAGCTACCCTAAAAGTCTGAGGTGAACTGACACGAAAAACTAATCGGTTAGCAGCATGCCTATAATCCTCAGGCAGATTTTCTTTTAATGTATCAGTGACATGCACTACATGACCTTCTTGAAAGTAAAAAGTCTAGATTTCTGTGTAATAAGATACTTTTGCCTGGGTATTAGGACAGAACTAGCTAAAATATGAAATGAACAATGACAGTAAGGAAGGACATCTAAAGCCAAACCTTGCAGAACTGTATGATATCCTCTTCAGATTGTCTGAATAATTGGGAAAAAGTTAAACTGTAACAAGAACAAAGGACCAAGTTTTATTCAGCTTGGATTGTCAGAATGGCATCAGACAATGGCAACCAGATTACAGTCTATACAATGTCTGATGAGTCTGGTTAAGTTTATCAAAGCTTCTGAATAGCTGTTTTTAAAGTCATAACTACAGGATTTTTGCTTCTCTTGCAATCAGATGGGACAAAGGTGCTGCAGAAAAGTAATCCTTTTTCCTATTTGCCAGCTTTATCTCTAACATTAAAGGGTCGACATACATCTAGCAGTCTGGTCCATTCCAGTGTGTGGTCCACAGAGTTCCACATACAAACTTGCCTATCTTGGGCACATGTTAAAAATAAGTCTTTGAAAGGATGGGATGCCAGTCCCCAGAGTTCATCTGTATGTCCCTGGAAAGAAAACACATATGATTTAACAATGAATAAAACAAAGACCCTCACCAGCAGGGAAAGCCTTTACATTTTTGGGTTATAGTTTGAAAAAAATTCGTGCTCACCTGTACCTCTACTAGGAAACCATCATTAAACGTTCCCCGCAAAACAAAGTTTCGTGAAGTACCCACTAAAAATTGATCTCCTTTTCCTTCTGCTACTGCTCTGATTGTTCCATACTGGTCAGGAACCTAGGAAAAGAAACATCTGTAAAACTACATCATGCATCTTGACAGGCGCTTATTTTTGAAGGCCACAATTAGTGCACAATGACAGTACCAGAACTGCAGCTCTCCCAGTAAAAAGGAACAAGCTAACCATGTATGCAGTAGATCAGGATTTGACCCAAACCTACCTCATTTATTTGTTCAGTACAAGCATACATGATGAATTCACTCCAAAACAATCACAATTATGCCATTTTAATAAGTCTTACTAGAAGAAATTACAAATTAAATTACATGGATTTTTAATTGTCAAATAGACTAAACAAATGCACTCCACAACCTTACAACTCATCTTACAAGGATAGGAATAATACACAGTTACCATTTACTTTTCAAATCACATTGTGAAAAATAAGAAAAATCTTGCAGCACACAGTAAATGCTTCCTGATTTTCTTAATGTTTCCTGGTTAGCTGTAAGTAAATGCTCATATGCCTTATGTCAGCAATGACTACAAGTTTTATTGAGTTTGTTTATTGCACCCTTGCATTCCAATAAACAGCTTTATTTTACAGTGCATGTTTGTTTGGTTTTCTAAATGATTTATCTTTAGAAAATACACTAATATTAGTCACACAAGACAGAAAAATCAATGCAGTAATTCAGAAAGTTGTCTGTCAGGGTGCTGGTAATATTTCTCAACATAAAAAATTAGCTTTAACATAACACTATTAACAAAAGGAAAACAGAGACACTAATAGGAATAGAGCGTGTTACTTAAGCCTAAGAGTTGTATATGATAGTCACCACTTACCTACTCTCAGCAACGTTTTCTAAAGGTCAATATTAGATTCAAGGCAACAACAAACTCTAGATGGAACTTAGTATATGTGTTAAGGAAAAAATGCTGCAATAAATGAACACTAGGTAAATGGAGTAAACCATTATTAGAACAACCGTTTAACAAGAATGCATTATTTCAAGAGGCCATCATATTGTCAGGGGGGTGGGGGGTGGGTGGGTGTAGTATTTTTAAAATCTATAATGTACAATTTCTTTTCCAGTTCATCCTCATTGACCTAGCATTGCCATATAGCCAAATCATAAAGACATACATGTTCACTAAACACCTGTTTTAGGATAAAAGTTAAAACAAGTTCCTCAAAATAGCTTATTAATCATTAATTCTTACAGAATACCCATATGTATCCTACCAATTGTTTGCCTTATGTCAAAAATTCTACTAAACCCTCCAATCCTGGCAACGTCGTCTTTCTCCAGATCAGCAAACTTAACAAAAACACAGGTGATACTAAAGAATATCCTCAAAAAAGGGACAAAAAAAAGAAACTAAGGGCTTGGAGGAAAGAAAAACCTTAAAATTTCTGTTCAACTTAAACATAGGTGAACTGAAGCCTCATATAGGCTTATAGACCAAAAATGTAAACACTTTTATAATAAAACATTGTCATACACTTAAAGAGACAGGATGACAGAGTATCTTCTGGTTGGTAACTACTGATCCTCCAAACAGTGGGGTGGGCTCTGTCTTGCTAGTCAGTACCTTGCCCAAGGAAATTTCCTTGTCACTCTTGCTTTCTTACCTCAATTTCCCTTTCAGGATTCAAATCATGATCCCACAGGATGATCTTTCGGTCCTTCCCACCTCCAGTTAGCAGCATCCCATTCCTCATTTGACAGAGTGTGAACACACTGCCATCGTGAGCTTTGATTTGTCTGCTTATCTGATATACTCCTACAAACACAAAAAGAACACAACAAAGAACATTACTTGTTTTTTTCACCTGGGGTTTACAAGAACCTGTGCCTTTTGGCAGAAGAATAAAGTAACAGTGTATAATAAATAATTACATTTGTAAGGCTATTAGTATTGCATTAGTATTGCAAACACAAGGTGGTAGTGTTTTCTTACAGGATAAAAAGATAAAACAAAGGGCCTGCCTTTCTGAATAGAAACTTTTTTGAGACTGATTGTTCTACAATTTGTGAAGGCAAGAACAACTATTTGCAAAATGCTTTCATTTCTCTGCTACCCAAGGGAACACAGTTTTTCCAGATGCAAGAGAAACCGTCCTTTAGAGTCAATAAATATTTAGCAAGTCATTATTAGAAAAGAATTACAGTTATTTTATTAAAAGAAACCCAAAGACTTGTCTATAGTCTTATGGGAATAAAAAGCAAATTATAGCAAAGTTTCCAGGGTGCACGAACCTAACATCTAATGCTGGATGTTGCCACACTTCAAAATAGTATAACCAGCATTTGGCATCTATCAATACAGCACTCGACCCAAAGGAAAACACTAGGAAGAATGAAAGAGATATGAGAAAATTAAACCACAAAGGTAGCAAAGGAACCCTTTGCATCCTAATCGGGCCTTCACGTCAAAAGAACTGCTGTAGGAAGGTATATTTTTAAAAAAGCAAGATTCTGGTGCTTTGAGACTTGCATATTTTCAAATAGCAATCACAGAAAACACTCAGCCTAACTTTGCTGACTCTGTCTATGGCTTAAGTCAGTTCAAGTCAGCACGCTCTCACACTGTGAAAAAGAGTTTGAGATCAAGTCCTGTGACCAATCTAATGTGATACACCAACTAAAAGATCCTGTATTTAATTAAGCCAATGTAAATAAGTGTTCTATTTGATATCTTTTAAGATTATACTGGAAAAAGGTTATTTTTGCACAAGAACTTCAAAATTAAACATCAGATAATTTGTTAAATTACTTTTCCATTGCAGTCAGCTTAAAAGACAAGAAAAAGATTTACTTACAAAAACAGACTTACTATTAAAAATTTACTTTTTACATGAATGTTTTCCTGGCATACCAATTTAAACCAGAGTGTTTGAAACAGCTGCCAAGTAAAATAAATTATCCTTGAATTTATAAGTTACCTTAGGGCTCAACTGTGACAGGTTTGCGTATGTTGGGTAACAAATAATTTTCCTTTATTTTTTGCAAAAGCTTTGCCCTAAAGAATAAGTTTAATCCAAATTTCAAATAAGATGGGTTTTAAAGTATATTTTACAGCCAAGACTTGAGTATCTGCTAAACCAGATACCATTATTTGTGTAACTGGTACAACTATGCATTATATTTTTCCTTCACATACAAGTTCTATCAACATCAGCTTCAACACTTAATGGTATTCCTCCGAGACTAAGCATGGTACGACATAAGCCTTAAGAGGCAAAGGTAGCCTCCAGAATCCTCAAACTGATCCTACAGCCTTTTTCAAATCTCAGGATGAAAGGAAAGCTGATTAACTGCACATTTTTTTAAATGCAAAATATTTAGGTAAAGTAGTTTTCATTCATTTCAGGCACAGTCTCATTAATTATTGAGAAACTCTAGATTGCTCTTGTCAGCAAATTCATGAGACTTGAAGGAGTTTAGTACCACCTATACCCTTAGTCAGGCCTGTTTCTTTATTCCTTTTCTAATGCAATCCTTTATGTTTGTCTTCTACAGACTATCTAAAATCTGTGATTAACTGTGAATGTATCCTACCTTTAGGTCCTTTTCCTGGAGTAGATTCTACAGTAGTTTTGCCCCATATAAGTATTATCCCACCTGAGTCTCCAGTGAGCACATCACCATTTCCCAAAAAAGCCAAACACTGAACAAATTTGGGTTTTTCGTATTTCTGAAACAAAATAAGCAAAAGAAAGGGATAACTGCTTGTACTCTTTATGTAATTAGTATAATGTATCCACACCCATACACCCTGAACACACATAAACAGAATTTAACCTTTTTTGTTTGCTCACCTCTCTGCTCAAACAGTACATGGTAACAGTGAAGCAAATTTATGGAAGGTACAAGCAGATCATTCCATTGATTTTAAACTGACCTGATATCAAAACACTCTTACCCCAAATATCCCCTGCTTCCTTGATAATGAATTGCCACTCCAGGTCCAGAAAAATATATGAGATTTGCCACATGTTATTATGGTATTTGCATCAGTTGGATGGAATTCTACAGCAAGAACAACTTCATTTGTAGTCTGAAATAATAACAGAAATAATATTTATTCAGATGGGACATTAACTACTAGAAATACATGTAAAATCCCAAGTTTCAGAACAGAGATATGAGGAATTAGACAGCTCATTGTATGCTTGAAAGAATCCGTAAGTGTTCCGTGCTAAATCAACTGTCTGAATGACCACACATATAATTTTATAGATATTGATTCTTTACACTCATAAGAGATCTTTATAAAACTTCAGTAGAAAAGTTGGGGTTTTACATTCAGTTTTTAAATCACAAAAGCTTCTTCCCTCTGGAATAGCTAAGACTTCTGCCATGGAAAATGAATGATGTATAAGATGACACTATTTGGGGTTGAAAACCCTGCTTACTTTTTATACAGACTAGTTTGCTATTCTGGATAACAAAGCTGTGACAGAGGTAAGTGAGACAATAGTAACATAGTAGGATTACATCCATCATTTTTGTTTTGAAATTCTATAAAAAAATCCTTTGGGTTGTTTCTTCCTCTCTTTTCCTCCTCACAAAGAAGAAAAAGAGAAGCCTGCATAACTCAAAACTTGGAAACATGGAGTCCCACCTTTGTATTTTTACTGGCTGCATACACTGTTACTGAATTACTAACACCTCAGTGAGTATTTCATCCTTTACCAATAGATTTTAGAAACATAACAAACTGACTGTTCATTTATCTAACTTCTAATGTATACTCAAACTGTCTTTGAAGACAATCTCCTGGAGGCAATGACTCTACAAAACACTTAAGTATATGAATTATCAATGCATTATGGGATTTAAGTGCATGCTTTAAAGGAGTATACATAAAAGTGCTGCTGAATCAGCACCTGCAGGAGTACCCTTTCCCACTTCACCATTTTTGGCTCACTTGAGGAAGATAACCTTCTTAAGTTTCATTTGTTGTTGATGACCATATTTATTGAATTAGGCTTCTCACAGAGTTTCCTCTACCTGAGTGTATCTGCTATATCCACAAATCATACGGAAACTAAGGACTGAAAAATTTAATGGAGTTCAGCTGAGAAAAGGCTTACGTTTTGCACTCTGCCTCAAGGGATGAAACTCTGCTCACACCACCTATTGTGGAAGCTGCTTAACATACTGCATGATCAAGTCCTAAATGTGAATAAGTACTGAAGGGCAAGCTGTCCCTGCCAAAGTGTTTTTAGCCAATTCTGAAACATCAGGGAACTCCCTGGAGAGTGAAAATGGTCAAAATAATGTCAATAAAACAGGAAATTCTAGGCATATGCCAAATAGCTTCACATTAAATATCTACAATTAAATGAAAATACTGACATAGAATTACATTAAAACTTACAGAATAGAATATAATTAGTATTGATCAACATAATTTAAAGAAAATAGGTCAAACCAACCTTTGTTACCTGAAATTGAAAATTTGTAATCATATACATATATGCTTGTAAAGCATTCCACTTGCTGACTCATGATTAAAAAAATTAAAAAATACTCACTTCCACATCCATGTAATATCTCCTTGCTTGATAATGTAAAATGCAAAGCAAGATGTCTCAAAATATGGACTTCAATAGCAAGTTATTATTGGATTGGGTATTTGCAGTGGAATCAACTTTACATGAACACTGAGTGCAACATCTCTGAACGTCTCTCATCGATCAGAAATTTAGAAGGTGAAAAAAGAAACAGGAAAGCAGACAAGATTGCAATCTACAAAAGCACCAATGGACTTCAAGTAAGAAGAGATGCATGTACTGAGAATCAATGTCTGGATCTTGATTCAGACAAAAATTAAAATAAGGAATGTCTAAAAGTAATTTTTTTTTTTAAATAAACAACTAAAGACTGCATCATCACTTCAGTTTCTTAAAGTTCCAGGATTTATTTTTTTAAAACTATGAAAATATTAAAGAATTGCTTTATTTGGATTGGCTCTTAGGGATGAGTAAAATGTAATTATAAGCATTCCAATATTAAAAACCCTTCCAATATACAAGTTAAGAATATATTTCTTTTGTGCCCTTCCACAAGCCAGCAGTATTACACAGTTGCAGTTTCCAAGTAAGATCAAATGTGTGTCTCACAAAATGTTGTGTTTATGGGAATAACACCACTTGCATTACAGAATACTAATTTGTGCAATAATTACCTTTATTTCTGCTATTTTTGATTTCCTCTGCCAATCCCACACAGTAAGCATATGCTCATTAGAGTCATCAATTACACACAAATGAATACCAGAATCCTAAAGGGAAAAGAAAAAAACAAGTGCTGACAAAGTACTATCATACCCCATTTAGAAACAGTGCAGGGCAGAAGTATTTTAAAAAACCACAAAGGTACAAATACAAATTAAGCACGTCCTTTTAAAGTAATTATAAGCTCGATATATCTGGTGTTTTCCTTTTCTCTTAAAGGACAGACATGGATTTTTGCATAATCTCACAAAAAACGACCATGTTTCAAATAATGTTCTAGGAAAGCTTTAAAAGTATCTTACCAAGTCTTTCCCTTTTGGTTTGGTGGGGTTTTTTTGTTGTTGCTTTTTTTTTTTTTTTTTGCTTTCTTGTTTGCAATATCATGCCAGTAGCAAAGAGATTTCTCCCTTTTTCTATTCTGCAAATACTTTGTTTTCCTTCAGGTCTCAGAGGACCGACACATAGCTCCACTTCTGTTTTTTTTCTTAAGCATCGCCATCACATACACACAACTTTACATTATCAAATTTTGTAAGCACATCTCATTTTTTCCTCATGGAGCATTAAGTACTAGCAGTTTCATCATGTAGTTGGTAAAATTTCAGTAAAGGTAACACTTCCTGAATAAAATGATGCTTAGAGAACAGAAAACTAAAATCTAGTCCTCAAAAATTCTGTAGTGTTCTTTGTATTTTGTTTTTAAAATGATGGAACATGTATTTATTTAACTTGGAAAAAAAAATATGTATCTGAGTTCAAAAGTTTTATTGGTGTGTTAGAATGCCAGCAATGACAGTACTCCTTTCACATAGTTCTATTTTATTTATGCTACCCTCATTTGTTTAAAAAAAATAAAATTCTCTTATGCACTGAAAGATAAAACCAGCTGAGCCTGCTGTGAGCCAGACGGTGGATGCGGTGATCTCCAGACCTCCCTTCCCACCTCAGCTGTCCTGTGAATCTCTTCCTCTATTTGCAAAATAAAGTAGATATTATTTTTCTGCATTTTTTACACATATTAATTCTTGCTGGGATGCAAGAATCACAGTCTGTTTTTTTCAGGAGGTCTGATATGTCTTAGTGTTTTGGTGAAAATACAAAGGCAGCTTAAAGAAAAACATATGCATATATTTTACAAAAAAATAAATTCATTGCCAATTTTGAACTGAGAATTTTATGAATGCCAAGTAGCACATCTCCATTTGCTATTGATTTTTCTGATAAATTCTGTGGCCCAGTAACAAGACTTTTTTTTTTTTTTTTTCTATGTAAAAGTATAGGCACAAATTGAACAAATTATTCCTCAGGAAAAAATAGCACAAGATAATGTTGGTTTTTTTTAATTTCCTGTTGGTAGATAAAAATCTACTCCACTTGTGCAAGCAGAAAAGTTACCCTTTCTATCAGAAATCACTAAAATTTGTCTTCACAGACCTCATTAACAAACTTGGTTTTAACATCCAAACAAAAAACCAAGCCCTTACAAACAAAACCAAACCACTGAACCCAGGACAGACTTCAATTTCTAGTTAAGGTTTTTCTTGCTTGCTATTTATTCACACTGCTAGTTTGTTACCGCAATTTTACATGTGCGATTTCCTGTTTTTTCCAACTAGCTCGCTGTCAGCTGGTTTTATAAAGTATACATAAACTTTACTGGCACACTTTTAATACCAAAACCAGATCAATTAGACAACCACATACAAAACCTCCAGAGATTTCCTTCTCGTTTACATAGGACTGAATAAATTATTTAGCACACCAAGTAATTACACCTGTCTTACCGCTTTTGAAAAATCCAAACACCCCACTCCACGCTCAAAAGTCCCAAGGCCGATAACCTGCAGCGTCACCAGACTCACCGAGTCCCATACTCTAACATGGGGCTGCAGAGGCTGTGTGAAAAAGCAATGGGACAAACAGAGTCATCAACAGTGAAAGCATCCTATGCAGGTGTCAAGTTCTGTTAAGCAGATGCTATGTGAATTACAAACTGCAGACTGAAATGCAGGATGACCTGTGCTAACGATGATGCTGGATAGTATCTTGAAGCTCAAAAGGTGAGAGTTGAGACAATCTTGCTCCCTGTGTCTGGGCTACAATCATGGGAGCCATGCCATTGAGGCAGGAAATTAAGTATAGTGGCATTTGGTAGTTGTGAAAATAAACCTTTGCCCAATTTAAGTCAATGAACAAATAATGGAAGAGTCATCTTGCATTTCAGACCCCAGACCTAGCAATGTTATGCAACAACTGAAAATAATGATCAAACCTTTTTTTATATATATAAAAAGCAGGAAAAAAATAAAATAAAAAAAATAAACCCTGGTACACTGAGTCCCCTAGCCATCACCAATCACTCAATAGACATGTCCACAGTTGTATTTCATACAAGTACTATCCCAAATGAGCTTAGCTTCATAAATGTGAAACAATCACAAAAAAAGTGGGAATTAAGTTGGCTTAAGGACAGCATTCACCATAAAAAGTGACAATAAATCATCCCACTGATGAAAAAACAAACCAATCAGCCCTAACAAGAGAGTCAACAACTGTTCAGTGGAAATCATAATATCATCTATAAAAAAAAACCCCACATCAATTCTTACAAAATCTAAGAAATTAAGTTGAACATCTGAATAAGGGTTATATTTAATGTGCTTCTACACCTCATAGTGTCTTTTTTTTTTTTTTCCTCCTGTCTGCAACTTTGTGAAGATAATCCAATTATTCAAATTCTGACAGAGTTTGCCAAGAGCCAGGGACAAGAGCATTTAAACGCACTTGCTCTCAAATGAGCAAGTTTGTAGGAAAGCTTGACACACCTTCCATGAATTCTCAATATCAGTTTCCTCTTCCATGAAGCCTTAAGAGTACCCTGACCCACAGAACTGGGGACTTGTTCTCCTCCGGGAGAAGACTTATCAAAAGAAATGTGACAGAAAAGATGTGGCTTTATAAATCAATTACAAGCTTCACATTTGCTTATAGAATTAAAATTGAGTTTCCTATGTCACAGATAAATAACTTTATGAGCTTCTGCTCTATTTGATGTATGGCTGAGTGCTTAGTTGTTACTGTCTTTTGCTAAAGATATAGGCTGTTACCTTAGAAACAGCAAAATATCTCAGTAAATGCAGTGCAGAAAATAAACTGCAAACAGAAGGTGATGATGAGATTAAAAAAAAACGAAACACTTTTCCTAATTTTCAAAACAAGATACTACTGCTCAACAGCTCTATTACTTACCCTTCCATCTTTATCCACTCCAGCTAACTGTCCTGTTGCAATTCTAATTTTGTCTGGATGAACTGCAAGACTAAGACAGACAGAAATATGACTTGCTTTTGCTGTCATAGGTCTTCAAAACTGAGAGGTTTTTTTCTAAATTTTTTTTTCTTTCTCAACAGAAGCCCATGAAGACACTTACGATCCTAAATCCCACTTTGATGAGACAGCTTGAATGTTTTTCACCAGACTATTTCCTTACACACTGTACTGATGGGTTGATCAGGCTCTTGCGATGGCTGATGGCACACAACCAGGAGGGCCATAAGAGCCACATCCACACGTGCTCTGACAAACCTAAGGTTTGCACGATATTGGAAGTCCACTGTAACAAAATATACATTGTCTCATGATGAGCTTCCTGCACGTAGTTATGTGCCACGTTTATAAACTACAGAATATTTTACACCTAAACCTATAGATAGTATGAACCTGGGGAAAAAACAGCTGAAAAGGTGGGTGAGGGCTTGTGCACCCGGGAGTCAGGGATTACTGCCACTTTAAATTAGTTACTGATGTAACTGTATTAATGATGTTCTCCAGCATGGTGCACTATAAATAAAACTCTGCTTTTGCTTACACATTTTGCTTTGGAGCTGATGTGAAAAAATAGATTTCAGAGTACACATCCTCCTAGTCCTAGTGATTTTTTTTACAGACCTTCTTAATTGCTTTCTCTGTAAAATTACAAAGGTGAAGAAACCCACTGAAACAGGAAGGGGGGAGCAGAGGGGAGCCTGAAGAGGTCAGAATGATGGACACCAAAACCATTTACAATTCAGTCTAGTTTTCTGAGTGAAAGCGAAGAACACAAGACTGACAGCATTCCTCCCACAGGAAGCAATTACAGTTATCAAAGCATGGTCAGGGGGAAAAGAGGTTTAGATGGCAACTCTTCTCCATCCAGGTACAGTAGGGAGCTTATGTTCACCCTTACATTATGTGCGCTACTCTTCAGACTAACATTGTAAATTCAGCAACTGCCTTTGCACTCAAAATGACATTGCCTTCAATTTCCCTGCTTCTTGTTTTGTTTTATAAACATCTTTCTGATTTCCCAGACAGTCTTAACACTTGGATGGGGCATCTATTAAAAAATGAGAACATTACTGCTCAGTTTTCAGTTTGGTTTTCTAATTCTCCTTGAAGACTACACCTTTGCCATACTGCCTGTAAATCACTGATTTAGAATTAGGCTGACAACAATTTTTAATTTCTGGGACATCTGTTTAGAATAATTACACAAAGATCCTTTCTCTAATCTGGCTTTCTTAAGATTGTCTACATATCCTGTTGTTTTAAGCCAGAAATCCTAAACTAGCATGGACTGCTCTAGCACCATTCATTTGTGCAGTGTTTACTACAGTGAAATCTACTGAGACTGACGAAATAAAAAATAACTACAATTATGATGATATTAATGAGCTCATACATACAGTAGGAGAGAATAAAAAAATACATTTCTGCATTATTACACACGTACTTACATGCAAATGTTATATACTAACCATTTAACACAATCTGTATGACCCAAGTAGTGTCGCTGAGTTCTCTCCTCATAGTTAAATAGTACCACCACTGATGCTATGAAATATACAATTTCTCCGGTAGGAAGGAGGTAAACATTGGCTCGACAGTCTCTTCCACGATACCCATATCTATACATTTATTTTTTTTTAAAAGTCAAGGTTTTCATAATCATTATATACCAGAAGAAAACACCCAAACCAAACAACTTTTTTTTTTTTTCTTAAAGGATTCCCAGGGAGCTCTCATGTCAGCAAATGACCTTTATGTGTTTCCTCTGGAACTATAGCACAATTTCAGTAACACAGTTTAAAAAAAACAAAACAAAACAAACCCCATATAATTGGACTTCAGGAAGCTAAATCCCTTAAAAAGTGATGTTCATTGATGTTAAAAATAAACTATCTAAGGCACACTGAAGTAAAACAAATATAGTGTTGTCATTTTATACAAAACTCCATGTGAAGTTTCATTGGGTAACAGCAGGATTCACTGTTCTGATTTAACATTTTTTACAGCAACAGAGCTGTGCCTCTGCATCTCCGGCACCAGAGCATTACTTGAATTTGGCCCTTTAAAACAAGCGCGTGAAAATTCCCAATGCCCTTCAGAAAAAGGCAAGCTTCTGCACAGCAGCTGCCAAGTTCAGGAAATATTTCTTTAGACTGTTTTAGAATATTTTTAAAACAAACAAAACTCAAAAGGAACTGACACAGTGAAAAACATTCTATCCAAATATACCCAAAATATATAAAAAGGATAATTTTTGTAGGAAATCTGCATGACTCCTAACAACATTCAGAAGTTTTACACACTGTCAACATGCCTTGGTTAGCACTGATCAAACGTTATTACAACTCCTTATTTCTTTCAAATAGGTGCAATTTTTTTCATCTAGACCATTAACATGGCTGTTTGCCAGTATTTCAATCTCCAGGGTCACTGGGCACAATTAACATCATAACTCAGACATTAACAGTAGCTCTGTAGCCTCAAAAAAAAAAAAAAAAAAAGAAAAAATACAATTTTCCTGTTACATCCTGCACTTCACAGAGCTTTCTGCTTCAGTGCCAACTAATACACCTGCAAGGAACATATGGGAAACACATTAAGTAACTTCAGCTAAAGGATTCCAGCCTTAGGTCCTGGTTAATCAGGTAAATAAAAGGAAGTCAAAGACCCACATGGAGAAAGCTGGATGGGTGAAGCTGGACCTCTCTCATAAATGAAAGCAGGTGCAGTAGTCCAAGTTTGGGTGTATCTAAACTGACACCTCCTAAGCTGACAGTCTGGCCTCTATTTTTCTTAGAAAAGGGCTACCTTTCCACCAAAAATACCACCACACGCCTTCCAATGCCACATCCCACCCCCAAAAACCCCACACCACACTACCCTTCCTCTTTTGCAGTCCCATCAAACCACAGGACTGCTGTACCACAGGAACACTTGCAAAATAAAATGCATGCTATAACTAAACAATGGCTCAATTAAATGCATGCTGTAACTAAACAATGGCTCAAAGAGGGACACTACATTCAGCTGTCAATTAAATCTCTACAAAACAGATTTGTATCTTGCTGTCTTCCATTTATTACAGAAGAACACGATGGTTCCTCTGAAGCAGAGATTATTCACTGGCTTGCTTAGCAAATGATAGTGAGAGAAATACTGATACAATATAATGCTAAGGGCAGAAAAAAAGGATGCCTCTGTTTCTCCTCCATCACTATTTATTTTCCCACTAAATTTTCCTCTTTCTTCTTCTTTTAAACACTGAGAAAAGAAACTCTAGAATGGCCTTTTATTAAAAAAACAAAACCAAAAACAAACCAAACCAACCAGACCACTGAACTTTCAAAAACAATGGGCTACAAACCAATTAAAATATTTTTACTATCCTGAAGCATGAAGAACGCTATTCTAAATATCTTCTCAGAGGAGAAAAGCAGATCTTGTTTATCTGCTGTATTCAATAGGGAGTGTATTGATAAGGATTTAGTAAGATTGACATCTTTGAACATTCATCCTAGAGAAGTATTAATGATTTACGCAAACATGCCTTTCCCCAGCAGAAGTCTACCATGCAAATCTAAGGCTAAATATTTTGGCACCCACCATCAAGCTCCAACATTCATGAGGCTACATCACGTCTTCTCAGTCCATTCCTTTCCTTTACCCTTCCTACATAATAAAGTACTAAAGAGCACTTGTGTTTTCTAGGGGTGTGTTTTTTGGAAGTATGTAAAGGAACAATCTGCTTTGTGGGAGAAATTTTTTGTTTTCTTCATTCTCCATTCCAGACTATCTTGAGAGAAAACAAGAGAGGTTGTTGCTTCACAGCAGTTCTTTCCTTCTCCACATACTCAGAACAAAGCAGCAGGTATGTTACTACAGTAATTGACTGTCTCTCTCTACAGAAAAAGGGGTGACACAACTTTGATGCTTAATGTCCACCGAATTTCAATGTTAATCTTTCAGTGAAACTGATGTTTCAGCCAGGGAAATTCAGAGATAGTTGTCTTCACATTGTGAATGTTTCTCACCAATTACAAGGACTATTTTGCACAACATTTGATATGTTTAACAGTTTTTGTTTTTTTCTTTTTTTAATTGGCTAAGAGTAGCCATGGCCCTTGTGAAAAGTGATCCACTGTACACCAGAATTCAGTAATACATTTACTGTTGGCTTCAATTATTCTTAGAAAGTAGAGTACCAGTGCTAAAAATAATTTTATAGAATGGGAGTCACAAATACCCTTAAGAAACTGAGCTACTATACATTGGGAGAAAGAGTCTATAAAGTCATTGTCTGTCAACAGCAGCACTGACTGTGACCTCTGCAGCTGCTAAATAAATCCATTTCGCTATTACTAGGAATGCCAGATATGCTTTAACCAGTTCTGAAGCGCAGTAGGAAAGATTGCACTACAAAGCAGGGATACCCAAACTAAATTAGTAAATTTAAATGACATCACTCAGGAACTAGACACAGTCAAGAGCTCAGACTTCCCCATGAGCTACTTTATCTTGCCAAGCAGCTTAGATATTTCTTCAACTGACAGTAATCTGCAGGGCAGACAAAAGCTAAGTGTGTTCTGTTGAATCTACAGTACTGGGCATCAGTAGTTGAATATACCTGCAGGACATAGTTCATCTAAAAAGGACAACCCCCTCCCCCAAACCAACCAACCAAAACCAACCCCCAAACAAAAAACCCACCCCAAGAACCCTTCTGTTCTTGCCTTGAAGTTGTTCATAGCTGATCAGCATCTTCCAAAATAGTATTATTGAAGAAAAACCCAATTATGAACAATCATACAGAAGGCAGGAGAATTAAAGGCGTTCAAAACAAAACTTATAGATTGAACAATTCAACACTCAATTGACCATTCAGCTCCAAAACACTGACATTACTAAAATATTCTGTGAATCACTGTCCCCAGGCCTTTTTAATAAGGTGTACAGGCTTCAGTTTGCTATCATATTTAGAAGTTACAGCTGGCTTGCAAGTTTCTTCCCCTTGCTAAACCTGTGCATGAAGTACAAGATCTTCTGCTGCAGTATCTCTGTGTCTCCAAAACCGAAGAGCAATTTTGTGCAACTTCATAGAGACCAGTATTAAGCCCTCGTAAATTTTACTGCCTTCTCCTCATTGTATTCTTCACCACTGTATCCAAAAGATACCCTACACTCGTAAATATACTGGTCTGATTTAGGATGACATTTCCTTAAACAGATTCTAAAATCATTCCAAAAACATACGGGCAGTCTGTTTAGACTAGATTTATTTCAGTTTAATTTTTTGGAAACTGGTTTAACCTGAACTTAAGGTCCTTGGACATTAAATAAGTATGTCCACACTGGGATTTGCACCTACTTAACCAAGGGTGTGATTTCATGATCAGTTTTCATCCGTCCAAACTGCTCACTGCTGCTGAAAAAGTAGATCTGATCTTCCCCCAGTATGCTAGTTCTAGCCCTTGCATGTTTGTGGGGAAATCAAATTAATAAGTTG